CCCGGCGGCCTGTCCGGCTTCTGCAGCGTGGGTTGCTGACTCGAGTCCGAGTGGGTTGTTTTGAAGTTCAGTGTAGCTTAAACTTAAAATATAAGGCGTTTTCCTTCCTAGCAATAGAGAAATCTTATGAATATGGGAGAGGGAGAGGTGAGCAGATAACTGCAACTATAGTCCTGTGATCTCCATTTACTTGAAAGTCTAATTTAAGAATTTCTAACCGTATAAGAGATCGTGTAATGAATCTACGAGATTTGGTGAGGAGTAGTTGTTTACCTGAAAGCAATGTGGGGACGCTATATGTTATGCGTTGGCCCTGAATCTTGGCACAGGCTGTGACATGTGGATGGACCACGAATGCTTATGTAGCTATTATGTGAAAGTATACTGCATAACTCCTTTTACAGGAACAGGTGGTGACTGTTCTTGCTGTTGTGCATTAAGCATCGGTTTCTCTGAACATACGGTGCCTTCGTCTTAGTGTGTATGATTAGTGATCACTCATGGCAATCTTTAGTTCGCAGGCTTGCGCAGGGCGAGCACATGGTAAAAAGCACTGAGATTGATCTGCTGTGCGTTGTAGAAAGTGTCTGTTGAACAGAAGTAAACATTAACTGTATTAGTTTGTTTTCATAAATGTGCAGACCGTTATTTGGAAGAGTAATTTAGATGTTCTTTTATAGGTAAGATTCCGTACGTTTGAAGATGCCGCTCTTCGGGAAAATTGTTGTAATTAAACGGACTGGGACTGATGGAATTCATTTTCCACTCACTGCAAGTTCTTGTTTATTTGGAAGGTGAGAATTAGTTGAGTACTTGTATACATCGAAATGATATTATTAGTGGTATGAAGAGATATCATATGCAGGAAATGTATTTATTTGCAAAAATAAGTATTTGAATATTCTTGAATGATATTTAAGGGAGAAAAGGTGGTACTGGACTAATGTGAGTTGTAAGAATAAAGAATTGAATTTATTCTTTCCTACTGCTTTTTGTCCTTTCCTTGCCAAAACTTTACTTCTAGTTTCCAGCCAAAGGGAATTTGAGGAAGAGGTTTAGCAGAACAATGAGGCTGAAAGCAATTTACAACTGTCAAGCAATCAATAATATTCTTTTATTTATAGATAGTTTCTAAAGGCAGTTATAGTTGCTAGGGAACTTACCAGTAAAGACAAGAGAGGTATGTATCTTGTACTCTGCCGTCCTCATCACACAGGCACGCTATTCTCAATCTCTTTTTGGCTCTCCAAGGCCTAAGTAATGGACTATGTGAGCCAGTCTTTTATTTTTGAGATGTAGCAGCTCTAGTAAGAACTTATCCCTTCTTCTCCGAACTGGAAACTCACTTTGATGTGTACAACTGAATGATGATGAAATAAACTATTTTCAGTGGTTTTTAAACCTGGCACAGCTATTTTAAATTAAAAGATAACATTTAATATACCTGAAGGAAAAGATATGTGAAGACTTGACTGAGTGACGTTACTATAAATAGTGCTTCAAATAAAATGTTACATCTCTTAAACTGGAGTTTTTCAGCCCTTTACTCATTGATAGATCTCTTAAATAACTGTAATTATTCAGTTGTGAACCAGATTACTTGGTGAAAGTCTTTTGGAAACACTTCAGTGTCAATAATATTATTGTTTGGCTTCTGTAGAGCTGCCTAGACAGATACTTAATTTTACAAACATTAATTTCTGCCAGCTACCTCAGAGAGAGATGTCTGATACTGGTAAGAAGATTGCATCTAGTACAATGGGTAATACGTTTGCTGCCCAAGACCCACAATGTGTCAAAAGAATTGGAGATTATTTAAACACACACGCACACAAAGCCCATATGTTTAAAAGCACAGCTGTGCACAATTTTTGGGAAAATAGAAGTGGCTAGTCTGGCCAGACCAAAGCTCCACCCATGATATTCTGTCTCTGATAGTGATCAGTAACTAAGGGCAAGGAAAGAATGTGAGAGCTTGTATAAGTATTTTGTAAGGATATTCCATGTGTCTTCAGCAGCTTGCGTGTTAGGGAACAAGTAATCTCGGAGCACTGGATATCTACTGTAGATGGGTCTCTTTTGGCTCATTGTGAATTGCAACTTTTTCAGAAGTAGTGTCTTTCACACGTTTTTCCCATATGAATTCTCTGGCATTTTAAAGTGTGAGCTTACGTTATTTCCCATCACAGCTGAAACTTTACATGGTTCACGTTCTCCCTAATTTGTTGCATCGCGCTTTTTTTTCTTTCCGGAACATAATTCTCTTTGAGATCTCAACTTCTTTATCCAATCAAGTTGAAATCAGCCAAGGAGTTTGACACTTACAGATAAATTAGGAGAGGGCAATCCTGTGTTCTAAAAATTTTGGCTAGAAATGGTAATTGGTGGCTTCATACTTGTGCCAGTCATGTTTCACTGGCAAACAGAATGGTTTCTTTTTTGCCTGGCATGCTATATGGAGGCTGAGATCTGAAACTTAAACTGTACTTTTTGATCTATTTCTTGTTGTTAGTAGGATAGATGGATAGATTTTGGAAGCAATGGATTTTGTTGATATGTGATTTAGAATCTAAGCTATAGCTTTTATGTTTCTCTCTCTGCTTCATTTCTCTTTTTGTCCTTTTTATTTATACGCTAGTTGTCTGCTTTAGATATTAGCACAAAATACAATATTCCCCCCCCTCCTCCTCCTTCCCCAAAGCACTTAGCAGCTAGCTTTCTTTTCACTTGCAGTTATGTTGGGAATACATGTCAGTGGTACAAATCCTGAAATGAACACTTTTTAATGATCTGCTTATCATAAGCATAGAGCTAATGTATAACTAGTGTCTAATTTAAGGACTTTAATAGCTTTAACTGAAAGGAAATGTGTGTAAATAGATGATGTGGTAGTGCATACAACAAAATAGTAATCTTGATTGCTTTTTAGGAGAGAAGCTTCCACTTATAGCAATAACTTTTTGGCTCTTTTTGCTAATGTTCTGAACTTTTTTTAGGATGCTACAGGTTGCTTTTAATGTAATACATCTTTATTTTTCTTGTCTCTTTGTTAGTGATTGCATCTGTATTAACTAGTAGGGTTTTTTATTTATTATATCAGGAACCATTGTAACATTTTTGCAACTACTAAGTTATGGACAGAGTTGCAAATCTGCAGAGTGGACCCGGCTCGCAGGCAATGTGTGTGCCTTCTTAGACCTCTTAAGTTACTAATGGTAACTGGAAGTAAAAAGGAAAAAAAACCCACTCATGCTGTGGTTATGGTCTAGGTTATCAGATTTGACAAAGTATCATGCTGCTATGCAACTTATTAGCTGAAAAGTTGGAAAATCATCTAATTATATAGCAATCAGTTTTTTTTGCCTTTGCAAACTGAAATCCTATTTTCACCAATAGGAAAATAGAATGTGATATTCGCATCCAGTTGCCTCAGGTCTCTAAAGAACACTGCAAAATTGAAGTAAATGAAAACAAGGAGGTAAGATGTACATATTTTTACTGACATTTATCTTGTATTGCATCTCTGCAGGCTACTGAACTGTTTGTTTCATTTTTAGGCAATACTGACTAACTTAAGTACAGTAAATCCTACGCAACTGAATGGTGGTTGTTTTCAGCAACCTGTAGCTCTGAAGCATGGAGATGTGTTTACCATTATTGATCGTTCTTTCAGGTAAGTACTAACGACAGAAACAAACTGAATGCTTTGATGCTAGAGTGTGATCTGCAGGCAAACTGTCTGGAGAGCTCTGTGGACACAGGGTCTTACTGCTGGATGAAGATACAGACAACGGCTGTAGATAGATGAGAAAAATTAAAATAACTTTTTACCATCTTCAGAAACAGAAGTTAATTTAGTTTATTTCAATCACTGTTATATTACCTTAAGCTAAACCAATAAAGATAGAATTGTCTAGAGATACTATTTTGATTTTGTTTCAAGGGTAGTCATTTTTAGGGGAGAAGTTAGAAGTATTTTGAGGTAACTAAAGCCTTAAAAGCAACATATATGTATATATTGTTGGAAGATAACAACTATTGCTGTGTCATTGATCATAAATATGGCAATTTAATCATCAACTATTTGATAAAAAATGGTTGTTTTAGTGTTTCTATATATCTTCCAGATTTGAATATCCTCCCCAATCAGCTCCAAGGAAGAGGTGTTCCAGATCTCCAAAAAATGAAACACTGCAGGTAATTCTATGGCTATAAACTTTATTGCAAGTATATTGGTTTTAATACAGATACGGTAATTTATTTCCCCGTTCTGTTTTTTTTTTTTTTTCCTTATGGTTGGGAACCAGTTTTCAACTATAGACTAGCGTTCTATTTTTAAAATGCTAATAAACTTCTTTATCTAAACACTTTTTTCTTTGTTCATAGATTAAGTACTCTGTTAGTAGAAACTGACAAGTCTAAAATTAATAAATTATGTTGTTAGTAATACAGGTAAGCTATTAAAAATTAATCTTTAGCTTTTTCGAAGAAAGGATGGGATGCAGGAAGTGTGGAGAATTGACACTGGAAATTCTTGTACTTTAAGTGGGGAAATTTGCCCTATAGACTGAGCAGCCTTTTTTTCAAAAATTACCTGCCATTTTATGTGCTATTACGCTAATCTATTGTTGGAATTTGTAAATATCAAACCAACCTAATCTTTTAATACCTTTTTTCATTAGTTTGTGTTCTTTTTTTCGACCCCAGCAAAGCTTTCTTCTTAAGGGGGATATTGTTAGTTAATGAATACTGTGGCTATTGGAAACTGTAACATACGCAAATATTTCATGTTTAACTAAAAAGTCTTTCCTGAGGTCTATTAAGAAAGGGAAATCTTTCTGTTCAGTTACTAGACAGAATCTGTATATATGCATATGCCTCAGCTACTTTTAGAGCTAATAATTAATGAGAATTAAACTCTTATTATATAGACCATCGAATATACTGAAGTCTGTATTCTTAAACTTTGAAATAGCCTACAATTTCATTTGAATACTTCTAAGCTTATTTTGTAAGCAATGCTTACATGTTTATAAGATCAGTGTTTTCCAGTGTATGGTAGAAAGCTAAATTGTTTATAAGGTACTTGTTGCTCTGCTGTAATATTGTGCAAATTTACAGGTTCTTCATGTTCAGCAGGTGGCAGAGGTGGAATTGCTACACAAACAAACTTCAGGATCTAAAAGTCTTCTTGATTCCGGTAGGTACCTATTTTATGTTTATTTCTTGTTGTCGTCTTTCCTTCTTCCCCTTTGTGTTTTATTCTTAGCATCAAGAGGAAGAACAAGGTTGCATGGAACAAAAGGAATGTATTTAAAGCCCTTTTGGGCTGTGATTTACCAAAGCTAAGTCGTGCCAGGAGAAATTGGTGCAGTCCCAACCAACAAATGGGCAGTAAGAGTAAGACTGGAATTGGCAAAATCTGTATATGGGTATATGTTGTTTTAAAAGGTTTGTGCAGATTAAGCTTGTGAAGGTTACAGCTAAGAAGAGAGGTCAGTGTGCCAGCTTTGCAAACGCAATGCTAATGTCAGTTGAAGCTGATATGTGAAACTTTAATTACCTATTACATCTTTCTTTTCAACAGAAACAAGTATAATTGAAGATGAATTCATCCTTGTGATTAAAATTTAACTTGCAGTTCTGCCTGACCTAGAATAGGACCAGATTACTCCTGAGCCAATGTTACGTTATCTCAGGTGTGCCATTAAAAAAAGGAAAATGGTATAATTTTGAATATACATTTCCATCAGCAAAATCAACCCTTCCTATGAATACAATAACTATTTCATATAGACCCAGTAAAAAGCCCAAAAGCCCTTTCTTTCAGAGCTACTAAATCTGAGTAATTGTAGATCATAGCCTGGTTAAATGTCAGTGCATCACCTTTCCATCCTTCTTACCTTCAGTAAGCTTCTTTCAGGGGAAGATGTAAAGTTTGTTTAAACCCTTACAAAGATGTGAGGTGTTCAAAAAAGAAAAGTGGCTATTCATCTACAGGCAGATATATGCTATAAGTTTTGTAACCAAAGTTTGTTCCAATGCAGAACAGAATGTTTTGAAGTGTGCAGCCTGAGTGGACTGTTGTGGGTGCATCTAGATTCGTGGGATTTGGATAATAGATTTCCTAGGACCTTCTTACAATACGACAGTCTTCACTTCCTTGCTCTACCACCTTTAAAGGGAACAAATTGTCAGGTCAATACAAAAAATACCAATGTACTTGTGTGCAGGTTAGGTACAAGCATTTTCATAGAACAATCTAATTTCCTGCTACCTCCCATCTCTCTTCTTCTCCTTCCCTCCCTCCCTCCCTCTCTCCTTTCCCAAAAGAAAATAATTGACAGGTTCTTCCTTATATGTTAGAGAAGGCTCCAACTTTCATCTCCATGTGGAATGTTTCCCATCTCAACTAAGAAAAGGCAACATATACCATCATTTACTTCAGCTGTCATTCATGCTGGTGTCAAGCAGTGCTGCAAAAGAGACCTTGTGGATGTATAGATGTTCATGAGCACTTGGCTTGTGGCTTAGAGAAGTACCTCTTGCCGGATGAACCCTATTAACGGACCTCTTGCTCATGGGAAATGCAAAGTAAAGCATGTTACTTCAAGCTTTCTTGAAGGCAATTTGCAAAGGACAATAGAATAGCACCATTCATGCAGTCATTTACTAAGTCTTGTCTCTGCTTTGTTATCTGGCTTTACCCTAAAGAGGCACATTGCTGTACTGCATAAACTGCAGCAACAATGTAAATGCAAAATGAAGAACTGGTTAAATTGTAGTGATAAGCTGACTTAAATGATTGTTTTGTTTCATGCTCAGAGACTTATCTTGTGGCAGCCCTAATAGAGATCTACATGATCCATTGATTTTTTTAGAGATAAACAGCATGGAATGTCGACTGCTTTACCTGAATATGGGATAAATTGAAGAATAGAATTTAATTTTTATGATGAACATTTCAATACTAATATACTTATTACAAAATTATTATTGTGAACAAGGATTTAATTTACACTGCCGTGTTGGGAGACAAAAGGAAGGACTTTTCACCTGTATTTAAGGAACTTACAGTTTTGCATTTTTAAGTAACTGCGCATTGTATTGTTTTTCCTTTTGTTTTACTTATTTTGTAGATAATACTGAGTGTGAAGAACAAAATGCTGATGAAAATAAACGAAGTACGGAGGGAAATATTTCCAAAACTTTACCCGTCAAGCTACTAACACCTAAATCTTTATACAGAGTTCATCGATCTAATAAAAAGGAAAATGAAATGTCTCCTTTTAGTAAACTCTATGAAACACTGAAACATGAGATTGAAGTGAAAAAAGTGCTGAAAGAAGGAAATGTGTCTCAACAAGCTGGAAAAGAAGATGGCAAGAGTATATTGCTAGAACCCAGTGCTCAGACTTCATCATCAGGTTATGCTTACGGTCTTGGAAGCCTGACTAAAGAAAAAGAAATAGATGTAAGTGAAGCTATTGAAGAGTATAAAATGAAACAAGAAGTAATCGGTTCAGAATTTAATCCGATCTCAACTGCAGGCAGTGCAACAAAGAAGAGCTTTACCAGAAGTCCTCGAACTTCTGCTTCAAATGAGATGTCACGAGATATTGGTAAGAGAATTCTGTTGCAGGATCACAAGGAACAAAATATTTCAGGGAAATCTGATGGTACTGAAGTTGCAACCAAACCAAATAAGGACAACGATGGAAATGCAGCATGTTCACCTAAGCCATGCTCTATAGAACGCTTGGGTTATGCAGACAACATAAAAATATACTCCTCTGCAAAAAAAAAAGAACAACTAGCACAAACAAGTGCTGTAACAAATGCGACTAGCGTAGAAACTAGCGTTTCTGAAATAGATAATTGTGTTTTGTCTACACCAAGGCTCAAGAGGAAGAGTCCCCGGTCTCGTTCCGTATCATCTACCAAAGTAACTAGTGAAATGGGTTCTCTAAACACTGATACTCCAACAGTTCAACACGATATATTGTTGGAATGTAAGACTTTTTCAGGAATTGCAGCTGAACCTCAAAAGGAAGACTTAGTGTGCAGAAATGATAGCCTGAAACAACTGCCTTTGGCAGAAAATAGATGCTTAAAACAAAGACGAAATAGTAAACAACATACACCAGGAAAATCTGTAAAAGAAGAGGTACTGAAAGAAACTTGTGATCAGGACAACTTTGTTAACTCAAAAGAGAGAGATTCTGATACTCCTGCTTCCTCATCTAATTCTAAGAGCCCGAGAAGAAATAGCAGGCGAGGTAAAGAATTATCAAATAAAAGTGTCTATTCAGAGACACTGACTTCAGAAGAATTAACACCAGAACCTGCATCTCCTGCTAGTCAGAAATCTAGCCCTGGAAGAAAAAGGGGTAGACCAAGAACCTCTGGACCACTAACTAAAAAAGTGCTGGAAACAGATGCCGCTCAAGATCATCATGATAAAACTGTAGACAGAAAAGACAATGGAAGTAAAGAGGAGCTGGCCTATCAACAGAAACTAGATTTGGAAGATGGCGGTGTTCTAAGACCTCGTAGATTGTCATCAAAAAGAAGATCTGGAAGTGCCACCATACTGAAAGAAGATGAGGTTGTCACAGAAATGAGTATTTCTAGCCTGTTGGATGAAGAGGAGGAATTGGGTAAATACTTTTAATTTCACACCTACTTGTTTTCGAATCAGTGAAATTCTGCTATGCTTTTTTCTTTTTTTTTTTAAACAAGAATTTCTTCTGCTTGCTTAAAATTTAGAACTGATTGCTGACACCAATTCTAAAATATTTATCATGTAATTATATTTAACCATGAAAATGCACGATTTTATCTGTAAAAGTTTATGTAATTGAATCTATTTCTCTTTAAAATGAATTATCTTCTGATAGGTTTCCTGCGTTAAAATGCCCAGATAGTCAATGTTTTCTGTGCTGGTTACAATAGTGACTTCTTGGATTCTCAGATATGTAGAAATGTTTTCAATTCTTGATATTTTTAGGTAATACAAGAATATCTCAAAAGAGGAAAAGTGGCGACTTGTTACTTCAGCCTTTAGGAAAAAGAAAGAGAGTGTCTTTTGGTGGTCATCTAAGCCCAGAACTTTTTGATAAAAGTTTACCTCCTAATTCACCCCTTAAAAGAGGTGCAATTCCAGCACGACTGAGCTTACCATTTGGAAACTCCCCACGTGCAGTTCTGAAGAAGGCTCAGGGACTGAAGCGTTTTGCCATCCAGGTAAACCTTAAAAGTTCAAACTGAAAGAGCTGCCAAAAGAAACACCAGAATTCATAAGTTGAAGGACTTAACAAAAATGAATACAAAATGAATCGTAAACCTTGTTAGTTGCACACTGGGAGAAGTGGACATTGTAACTGCTTGAAAATAGCAACTTTTAATCAACGTTTTTGGGAACCTTTTTGTTGGAGGAAAAGCTCAGCTTACTCTTTATATCTAGCTGTCTTTATCTGGGAGGTGGGTTTTTAGTCACCTCACATACTTTTACGCATTCTCATGAATATGTGAATGAATATATTTCTATGTGTTTGTGTATAACAGCAGTATCTACAGGCTTCAGTTTACCATAAATATCAAAAACCAGACACAGTCTAGAATGGTAGTTTGTTGGCAGACTGCTATACGTGGCTTGGCAAAAAGTTTGAAATGTTTACCTGTTGATTTAAGCTAGTTAAAGTGTGTGTCATGTACTAGATGTGAATACAACTGTTTTGAATGAAGTAGAATAATTCAGTTAATTAAACTGAATTTGCATGCATCTTTTGAGACGATTTTGAAATTTCAGCTGTGTTTTAAGTTTTGTTTTCTTAGAGAATAGCATTTAATTTTGTTACTCTGATGACCTACTGCATTTACTTTTCAAAGATTTAGATGAGCCTTTGTAGCTCTGCTTTGTGCAATAATACTTTTATTTGTGTATGTGTGTGTATTTATATATATAAAACAAACTTACATATATATTTATTTATTTATTTTTCCTACCAGGAAATTTCTGAACATTTGCCAAAACAAAAAGTGTCACCAAAAAATTTGCTGACCCAGAGGTCTGCTGCTGCTTCATCCCTTGTTTCTGGAACACCTAAATTTACTTTAAGCTCTCCAGCACCTTACACTAAAGGACGTTTCTCGGTTTCCCGCGTCACAACACCATCACCAGTTGCAGAGGAGCAGGATGCCGTTGCAGAAGATGTGAATACCCAGGAGGAAAATGGTGCTCAAGTAAAAACACTCAATTTTTCTCACGTTAACCAAGATGATAAAACTTTAACAGCTACAACTAACAAATTAACAAGAAGTGCACAGCTTGCTTTGAAGAACACTCCCATGAAGAGAAGAAGTGGGGCTGTAGCTGTTATTAATGCAAAAAGAAGAAGTGGTGCCTCCAGTGCCAATTTGCTAGGTTTGTTTAAGCAGTTAATTTTTAATATGAATGTTAATGCTTAAAGAAACAATACCAAAACTGAAGTAGGCCTATTAATTTGTTTTACAAAGACCACCAAAGAGGAATTGTATATCTTATGTCATTTTTTGGCCTTCTTGAAAATGGCTGGAAATTGCAAAGTTTTACATTCTCTCATATTATAAAGATATATAAAGGAGTATTTAGAACACAAATTCTAGTATTCGGAAGCTGAGAAATGCTGGAATTAATGTTTTCTTTGCAAGGTTATTTACAATAATGAATTCCTTCATGAAAAGCATTTTCATGATGACTGCGTTATCAACTACTATTTTTTCACCCAAAGCACACAAAAGTAGATAATCATATTATAAAGTCATAAATGAAGGTGTCTTTTATTCTCCGTAAGTTGTTCAGACTTCAAATACAGTTATAGGACCTAAGGTATGCTATATGAATATGGAGTTATCGCATATCATCTTATTAGCATTGTATTTGACCTGTTTGAGTCAAACAGGTCAAATAATATTGAACTAGATCAAATTGTATCAATTACATTGATTTTGATGTTAAAATGTATACTTTTAGAGTAATCTGATTTTTGTCTAGCTTCAGCTTGGTTTCTTTATGCTGCTTGCTGTATATGATTCCCAAGCTTTGTCCGTAGACTGGACTGCCCTTGGCAAACCATTGAAAATGTTATGTAACAGTTTTGATTACAAATAAGATGATATCTGGGTGTGTGAGTGACAGATGTTCTGAATTGGCCAAAATAGTTTTGGAGCCATTGGAAATTTTGTATTAGAAGGACTCTGGTTCTTGAAATGTTTATCTTTGTGAAGATGCTTACAGACAAGTTATCTTTGTCATCTGTTTTCATAAATCAAATGAAATTGACTCTTTAAAAGTCAAATTTAAAGCTTCTTGCCACCTTTTCTGACTGATTTTTACTGTTCTTTATTATCTCCATTTTCATAGTATGCATTTAAAATTTTGACCATCTTAATAGATGCAGTTTTCTAGAGATTGCCCCCATAATATTATATGGTAAGATAAAATCACAGGCCTTCACAATACCTCTAGGTTAATATAGTTGAAGATTGTGTTAACTTTTTAACAAAATAAGGTTTTTCAGTGGCTTTGTTTATTCCATTCTTTATAATAGCAGAGTACTTCACAAATACTAATGTCATACCTTTGCTCACCACATCTCCATACTGTGAAAGCGGTTTCTAATGTCTGTGCCTTAGCTTCTTCTGTAAAATGGAAATAACACCACAGTTGCTAAATATTTTGATTTTTTTTTTTTTTCATGTCTACATTGTATACAAAACACAACGCTCTGTGTTCCCAATGCCTGTTCAGATAATTTCTGGGGCACTTGGCATTTTTCTCCATAATCTGGACACCCTAACAATGGCAACTTTTGAAAACTTGTTTTTGGAGGCTTGCCTCGACTTGCTTAGTAACTCTGGCAGTAGAATAATAAAATCCTGTTCTTCAGGAATAGCATTCACTTTTCTTTCTTTAAGTACAGACAAAATTATTTCCTTCATGTGATCCCTGCCTCTTACAGGCCATTTCCACAGTAAACAAGGTGGATGTCCTACCAAATTACAGCTTTCTTTATTTCGCAGCTGAAATTAATTCCATGATTTCTATGCAGCGTACAGAATGATGTTGTGATAAAGGTAACCTTGCTTTGGGAATTGTCAGAACAGGAGACTATGTGGAGAAGGTGCTATAAGAAAGAATTTTAGAAAGTCTGTGAAGATCTAAATGCTGTAAGCAGTATAAATAAACAATTTACTGAATATGAAGTTCCTTGGAAAGCTGATGAAAGAAAAGTTAGATATGATTCACTTGAAAGCCATTTTTCTAATGTTAAATATCACAGCCCACCAAGGAAAACGTCAGGTATAATAATGAGTGAGGCTGAAAGGCTCGTGACAAATTTCTTTTGGGGAACCTTGACAAAAACAGTAAGGACAAAATTGGGTCAGTGTTCTGTTCTATGATCTGTAAAGCATTTGGTGCTATATAAGGGTTTTTTTTGGCTGTGGAAACAGTTACACTGGCTATTTGAACACTTGTTAAACTTCAACTGACATTGGGCCTTCCAATTGGAAGGTATTTTCACACAGCACTTTGGTATAGGTGTTGCCAGATAATATGCTAACCGGCCTCCTAAGTCTCACACTGCAGAAATCCTCTGGAATCATAAAGAAACAATTGTGAACTCTGATTTACACAGCTGAAAATTAACGTTATTTGTTTTGCTTTCTAGTTGCAAAATCCTGGGCAGAAGTGGTAAAGTTAGGTGTTGCAAGACCACAAGCAAAAGCCATTAAAAAGTCTGTCCTAAAAGGAAGATCAGCAAAGAAGATAACACAATCACCAAAGGTATTTTGTTTTTTAACTTAACTGCAAAACAGCATTTTTTCAGATAGAAGCTTCTGAGTTTTGAACGTGATGTTAATTGGGTATTGATGTTTTCGTCCCAGTGTGTAAGACAATTGAGGAAAAGGTCAGGAGCCACTGCTAATTATTCTTTTAGGTGCAAGTCCAGTAGGTACCATCTGTAGTTAAGGATTAGGTGTGTGGATGGGTACTCTGTTATATGGTTGTATATAACAGATATATATATATGGTTGTATATAACAGAGGTGTGTTAAACAGATAACCAGTTTCATTAGTGTAACTGAAAGTGAATTTCTAGTAATCTCGTAATTCCAGTCATCTTAAAAGTCTATCTCTCTATGTATTTATTATCTCTTCTCTGCAGTCCAAACTGGACTGCAGTTTGAAAGGGCAGGGCATGCATTTCGGTTTAAATGCTCTACAAGTTGACGCAGCGCAAAGGAATAAGGCTGAAGCACTCTCAGGATATCCCTCAGCTCTCTAAGGCTAAGAAAATCTGTGGTCTCAGGTGTTCATCAAGCACAGTCACTCAAATTTTGAATGAGTATAAAAGCTGCATGTCTCAAAGAGCTAACTCCTTATAGTAGCTGCGAGCTAAACGCTTCTGTCTGCAAAACAGTCTGTATTAGCTAGACAAGACCAATTAAGTTTGTGGAAGATTTGAGCTGATTACAGTTAGATTTTAAATGAAATGCATCTGAGTTTATATATCTATTTCTTTTTTTTCCTTTCTCTGCAGACTCCAGAAAGAAAAGTAAAAGGTCATTTTAGTACAGGTCATGCAGAATCTCCTGCTACAATAGTTGTTGGCAGAGCTTATACCACAAGAGTCAGAATGGCTGGACAGGTCCCTAAAGTGGTAAAAAATCCTATCTTGAAACAAAACATGGATATGGATGAAAGCTTCACAGGTGAGTGGTGTGCTTTTAAAATGTATTACTGGCTCTACCAGCTATGTAGTTTTTTGTCGAAGCATGTACTTACTTCTCTGAATGTAATCCATAGGATTGACTGAGTTGCTTCAGACTCCAGAAGATAAAAGTGGGAAAAGACTACCTTTGTCCGCTGTTCAGAAGACTGATTTTACACCAATGTGTACCGCAGTAGAAGTTTCAGAGTTACACACTCCTGAAGAATCTGGTATGTTTGTTATTTGGAAAGAAAGCAAATGTTGAGGTATATTTAGGGGGTAGCAGTGCAGTGACAGGTCTACTGTTGGAGTCAGTGAGGAGTTAGCCTAGGCAGACTTGAGGTATAGTGATGATGCGTCTGGCAACCCATGAAATGAATTGCTTTGTCATGTATTGAAAGACGTTTTTGTAGTTCTAGCTAATTTTTGAATAGGTGTTATTTTCTTTTCCGTTCTATTGTGTATGATCTTATCAAAATGTTGAAGCATGCATTTTTATTTTAGGCAAGTTTAAAGCATGGCAAATCTTGTGCTGATGCATGGTAACTCTTTAACAGGTTGTTTAAATCCAGTGATAGTTTCATGGTGGGAAAGAGGGTGTTGTCTAATCTTGCAGAAAGAGTCTACTAAAAAAAAAGTAGTATCAGATTAGGAAGATTTGTATTAAGATGGTACTTCACCTGCATTTTGCATTTTTTTGCTTGTGACCTTTGAGGCCATTCATCATGCCCCTGCAAAACTCAGACCTCTTTAAATTTAAATTTCTCTTTTCTTCAGAATTTAGAAAAACTGACTGTATAATGAAACATGGAAGAAAAACTCAAGAATAAATCTTCCAGTATAAAAAAAAAAATTTGAAACGCATTTTGGTTCATTTCAGATTTTATAGAAGTCTTGCATATAAAAAACCTTTTTGCAACTTCAGAAGGGAGTCAAGTATAACATTTACCTTGAAAATAAATATTAGTAAAGTGATCTTCCTCCACCTGCAGATAACGTCTGTTATCAACTGTTACCTCCTTATATTCAGTGCTTTCCCTTAATTGGTAAGCAAGCCCTTAATCTTAGGTGCTTTACATGTTGATCCTTTTGCATGTATAAATACTCTTTAGTTCTAGAATTTGGGGAGTATGGAGCCAGAGCCTTTTCAGCAGAGCCAGCCGGTCAGTTCCCAGCCTGCGTTGTTGCCAGGGCTCTTGCTTTCTGTGTGTAGCGCTATGCAACTTGTCCTTGCTGAATTTCATCGGGTTCCTGTTGGCGCTTTCTTCCAGCCTGCACTACTCTACTTGTTACTGGCCTGCAGGTAGAGACCTATTCACCATGACTGTCTGAGCCTGATTATCCAACCAGCTCTTTATTGATCTAGTTCGTTCATCCAGGCTGCAATGTCCTAACCTGGACACTAGAACATTGTCTGAGACAGTGTTGAAAGCCTTGCTCAAGTCAAGGCAAATAAAGTCCACGGGTCTCCCTTCATCCACAAATCCACTTGTTTTATCACAGGAAGTGATCAGGTTTGTCATTTATGATTTTTATTTTGATAAATCCGTGCTGACTCTTCCTGGTCACCACCACCTCCTTGATGTGTCCAGAAAAGTGTTTCAAAAGGACCTGCTCCATTATTTTATCAGGGACTGAAGTGAGGCTAACCTGTCAATAGTCAGGTCTTAGTTTCAGCATATTGCTCATGAAATTGTATTTCTGCCACTTTTAATTTATCTTCCTGTATAATCTTTTGAGCATTTTTCTGACCAAGGTTTTCTCCATAACCTTCCTTTGCTTCATTTCCTTATACCACTGGGAAGAATGATGGGAGGTATTTCCTCAACAAAGAGGAAGAGTGGCAGCCGCTTCTGTTGAGCAACGGTGTGGTTATGCTTGTTCTGATGCTTATGCTAACAATATTGGGAAATAGCCAGAGAAATTAGCTTTGTTTTTTTTTTTCTAAGCTTTCCTCTGAAACATTCTTTTCTTCTATGCATATTGAGCAAGACCCAAAAAAGTCCAAGATTTCCCAGAGTCAGTGCTTCTACATTGACCATAACGAGCACTTGCAAGAAGTGACTTTCCAAACACAAGCACATGCAAACTGAGTGCACGTGATGCAAATTGCACAGAAATCTCACTTCATTTTTATTTTTCTCCCATACCTTCCAAAGTGTCAGAAAGGTCAAATGTGTGTGTTCTTTAATGTAAAAACTTCTGGTTGATGTCCGATATTGCTACGATACATTAAAGAAACTGCAGTAAAAAGCTTGCATTGCTAGAAATTTTAGGGACCACATATGCTAGTAATTTTTATATCTGATTAAACAAGAAAAAAATTGAACCACGCTTTTGGATTTTAGTTTGTATAAAGCTCAGATTGTTTGAATCCGTTCTTTACTTAGTTATACAACAGTTAGAATGTTTGAGTTTTCTGATTTTATTTTTTTGCAAGCTACATAAACCTGTTTTCTATTACAGGAGAGATGATAGTGTCACCCTTGAATAGTTCAGATGCTTCAGAACAGAAACAAGATAGTCAAGTCATCTGTCACTTTCTGAGAGATGAAGAATCTCTAAAGTCGATGGTTGATGCAATCTCCACAAATACTCCTGAAAAAAAAGAAGCTATGCTGGAAGAAAATGTTAGCATGGACAGTTTGCTGATAAGTCCAGAAAAACATACATCTCCAATGAAATTAAGAATTCAAAGGAGGACTCCAAAACAGAAGCTAGAGCCAGTCGAGGTCCTGTCAGGCATCAAGCAGCTCATGAGGACCCCAAAGCAAAAGTCGGAGCCAGCTGAGGTCCTGTCAGGCATCAAGCAGCTCATGAGGACCCCAAAGCAAAAGTCAGAGCCTGTGGAGGTCCTGTCAGGTGTCAAGCAGCTCATGAGGACCCCAAAGCAAAAGTCGGAGCCCGTGGAGGCCCTGTCAGGTGTCAAGCAGCTCATGAGGACCCCAAAGCAAAAGTCGGAGCCCGTGGAGGCCCTGTCAGGTGTCAAGCAGCTCATGAGGACTCCAGTGGAAGGAGCAGAAGCCGTGGAGGCCCTGTCAGGTGTCAAGCAGCTCATGAGGACCCCAAAGCAAAAGTCGGAGCCCGTGGAGGCCCTGTCAGGTGTCAAGCAGCTCATGAGGACCCCAAAGCAAAAGTCGGAGCCCGTGGAGGCCCTGTCAGGTGTCAAGCAGCTCATGAGGACCCCAAAGCAAAAGTCGGAGCCTATTACAGATGAAATTGCCTTCACAAGATTGCTGAAGACTCCAGTGGAAGGAGTAGAAGATATAGCAGGAGTTACTTTAATTAAGAAAACTCCGAAACTGAAATATCAACCAGTAGAAGATATGATTGGGGTTAGCCGCATTTTCAAGACACCAAAGGAAAAAGTTGAACCAGTAGAAGATGTGTTTGGAATTAGTAGGTTAGTGAGGACTCCAAGAGAGAAATATCAGCCAGTTGAAGATTTTGTGGGTCTGAAGAAGCTTATGGCAGAACCTAGACAAAAATGTTCAGATTTTGAAGTGGATTATGTTGGAGTTAAGGAGATGTTTGATATACCAGAGGAAATCAAGGTAAAATACTCTCTGTAACCTTTGGAAGTGACTTAGTTTCAACCGTAGGCTCTGAGTCTAACTTTTAGGTCACCTAATATGACATATTGTATGTAATAGCACATAATTTCATTCAAATGTTTCATACCTACATCTTCTGGATGAAAACTGCCTTCTAGAAAAGCATGTAGTGTTGCTCTGGAGACTTAAAAAATGGCAATCTATCTTTTCCTTGGTAGCTTTTTAGAGGAGAGTGCCCCCTGCTAAAAGATATAGCTTATTACAAATTTGAATATGAGTGCTTCTTTTACTAACTATTTGTTCCCATTATGTTTAAAGCATTCTTTTCATTGCTTGCAAACTGTAATCAACTTATTTCTTTGCCAACCTTTTCATAAGCCATGCATATACTGGATTTCTTTGTTTTATATAACCCCTTCACAGTTTATGTAGAAACTTTGAAGCTTTTTTCTTCTTTAAACATCCAAAACTGTTGAGCTTTTGCCAAATATTGTATTACCTTGTGGTCATTTGATTGCTCGCTATGCCCTTAAGTTTGTTCATTGCTTCCTGTATGGTCATCCATTAGAGACAGCTATATTTGTATATATTTGCCTGTATTAGTATGCATTTTCATAGAATGAACCCTATCTAAACACTAACTAAGGTTGCTCTGGATGATCACCCTGCCCTTATTATTCACAGCTTCATCACTCTTTTCAGAATTTTATTAGCATTGATTTTCATGTTCATTCCCAGACCTGTAACTAAAATGTTGAATATCACTGGGCGTAGTGCTGTTCTCTATAGAACTATGACAACACGCTCTAAAATGTTCACGTTATTTAGTGGTAATACCCCAAATTGCTTTTGAGATCTCATTTAGCCACTTTTGAGCCAATTTCCTGAATGCTCTTTTAACCTCTATATGGTATTGTCTTTCACCGTAAAAATTACTGCACTACATCCAATGGCTAGTATGAAGTTTGCATGTGTGCTAACATTAAATAAATTACATTGCAGTTATCAAACTAAGTTAACTGCATTTTATGAGAAAAGCATTTGACGTGTTTTTCAACTATTATGTTCCTACTTTTGTATAGATTTATTGATTCCTGTTTATTCCTTTAGGTCAGATCAACAAATACTATGGATCTTGAGCGAGAAGATTCTGTACCTGTTTGCACTAATTCCAATCAAGAATATGGTAAGTACAAATGCTTTGATTTTTAACTAGAGGAGAAATGAACCTTATTATGAAGTTTAACTGTGTATTTTAAAATTCCAAAATATGCAATATGCAAAAAGAACATAGTGCATGGGATTTGTACAGTAATCAGTGATGAAAAGCAGCTGCTGGAAGCTAGATTTTGCACTATTAATTCTACACTAACAATAGTTTATTGGTGTAGTAACACTAGCATCCCCAACGATACTAACGTAAAAAAACCTTATGTAAGCTCTGTACTTAAAATTGTCTTTCTTTGAAAAGACTCTAAAGAGCGTAGCTTGAAGCTGTGAACGCTGCCTACCAAATAAATAAGACATCTTTGTGCGGTAACCTGACCTTTCTTCTAGCAGTCAATAAAAACTACTTTTTTATTAAGAATATTACAAGTGATTTGATTTTTCCTAATAGAATGGTCCCGCTCAAAACTTGCGGATACTTTGGTCAGACATAGTAATGTATAACTTTTGTTTGTGCTCTTTTCTATGTAAAAACTTCTAATGGGGGGAAAAACTATTTTAGAAGACAAAGGAAACTTTTCAGAAGGTGAGGATTCTCAGCAGACTTTATCAGCCAGCAAAGACCACTCTACCAAGAGACAAACAAGGGGCAGACCAAGGAAGACAGTACATCCTGTTTCAGTAAAACAGCGTGAGAAGATTCTAGAGGAAGAAGTAAATTTAAAAGAATTGCAAGCTCTGGAGAAAAAGAGCCCTCAAGAGGGGATGGGAGAGGCTGGTGATTCAACTACAGTAGCTAAAAATCTGGGAAGAGGAAAGAGAACAAATCTTTGCATGCAAGAAGGAATTGTTTCAAAGCACCCTGATCATGAAAAAGCTGAAACTAAGTCATTTGTGGAATTACGTGGAGCTGCTCAAAGATCAAGAAGAGGTAAAAAGAAGGAACTTACGGATTTAAAACATCAAAGTGAGAGTGCTGAAGAATCTTTGTCACAAAACTCAGTGCTACAAAAAGAACCTGCAAATATAAAACAGACTTTGCAGGAGTATGATATCAATGCTGTGTTGATAGCTGAAGATGGTCAAAGCATAAAGACAGAAAGTATGTATAGTAGCATTCAAAATGCAAATTGTCGACTTCTGCAAACAGAATTCAAAAAAACTGAGAACAAATCTAATGAAAGTAGTATAGAAAACAATGAAGAAATCCTGCTGTCCCCTGGGAAGACATCTAGAGGAGAGAAAAAAGTAGAAACCACAGAACCAGTTATTCCACCTAAAAGAGTAAGAAGAGGAAAAAATGACAGTGTCAAACAATCTCCTTCAGAGGAGCTTCATGGGACGGTGAGGAAGCTTCGTGAGGCCCCTTCAGCAAAGATGATACAAGGAGATGAACAGACTGTTGATAAAGGTATCATTGAGACTGCCCCAGTAGAAGAATCTGAAATCGGAACTAAACACGAAATAAAGGTAGTAGAGAAAAGAGGAAAATCTTTAAGAAATGCTAGAAAACATTTGACTGAAATAAAAACAGAAGCTTGCAGGGTGGCACCTGAAAATATGAAAAATGCTCAAGAAAACAAGGAAACTTCAGTGCAAACTGTTATTGAAACACGATCACGCATGAAAAATGAGAATAAAGTATGTCAAGGAGATGAAGCAGAAAATGTGCAGGAAAATGCAACAGAGGCATCTCAAACATTAAAGTCAGAGTCACCTTTTGGAGAAACAAACAAAGCACCTGCTACTGTACTATACTTGGAAACAAACAGAAGCACAATACAAGAAACAAACAGAACTAGAAATAGGAGAGTCAAAAAGGGCTCTCTGGAGATAAAGACTGATGAATCTGCCAAAGATGTCAGCAGCCTAAAAGTAATCATGCCCAAACTTAAGTCAGAAACAGAACTGGAGGAATCTTCTATCAAGGATTCTTTAGGCTCTCCCCATGTCAAGGAGGACATGAGCAACTCAGCTGCCACAGCAATAGCTGCTGCAGATAATGACAGTATTGCTCATAGCTGTCAAAAGCAGACAGAAAATGAACAGGAAGTCCATAAACCTCATCAAATTGAAACCCTGCCAGAAAGTCAAACACACGTAAATGGGACTACATTTAGAAGAGGTAGAGGGAAGAAAGTTAATTTTGAACTTGAAGAAGCTAATGCCAAAGCACTTGGAGGAAAGAGCTTCCTTGGAGAAGATAAAGGAATAATTTATAAAGATGGTCAACATGACACTTCAGAAAATACTTCTTCACAAGTAAGGAGGAGCAGAAGAAAGCAAGTTGATTCCATTCCACCAACAGCTTGTCCTACCTCTACTAAAAACCAAACGTTAATTGAAGATCATAGTAAAGATGAGACTTTTGTAAAAGATCAAGATCCAGCTCTGGAAGCTACACTCTCTTCAACAGAAGAGAATCCACTGAGATGGGGCAAAAGAGGAGAGGCTGCTGTAGCATCACAAACCACTAGTTCTCTTTCTGTCAGAAAAAAACGTGGTTTGCCAGAAGGTGATGATAAAAAGATGGCTGTGAAAGAAGATCAAAATATGGCTTTGGGAAATAAAACTTCTCAGGCAAAAGCAAATGCAGCAGCAAGGGACAGAAGGGAAAAGATTGATCTATCAGCAGAGGCAAAAAGTTCATCTTCTCTCCAGAGAAAATGTGGCTTGTCAGAAACTGATGATAAAGAGGAGAGTTCTAATGAAGAACAAAATATGCCTTTGGAAGTTGTGTCCCCTGCAAAAGAGAAAACATTAGGAAGGGGCAGAAGGAAAGTAGCTGCTCTGATGTCACACACAACTAATTACATTTCTCTTAGAGGAAGACGTTGTGTGCCAGCAGATAATGATAGGGAAGAGACTCTTAAAGAAGATCAAAACGTGCCTTTAGAAACTGCTGCTTCATCTGTAAAAGAAACTCAGTTGAGGAAAGGCAGAAGGAAAGAAGTTGCCCTCTTGTTAGAAGCAACAAGGTCTACTTCTATTCACGGAAAAGACAGTGTATCAAAAGAAAGTGGTAAAAAGAATGCTTATGGGGAAGCTGAAAAAATGATTTTGGAGAACTCTACTTCCCAAGAAGAAATGAATCTTTCAAAAGGGAAGTCAAGGCAAAAAGCTATTGTCACTTCACTGGCTTCTGGTTCCACTTCACCCCAAGGTAAAATCAGTTTGCCAGATAGTGGCAAGAATGAAACTCCCAAAGAACAACAGAGCTTATCTTTAGAAATGGTGCCATCTGCAAGAGAAAATCTATCAAGAGCAGGTAGAAAGAAAACAGTTTCTTTCAAATCTGAAGAAGCTGATTCCACTTTTCTCAGGGGAAAACGTTATTTGCCCAAAGACACAGGTCAAAAGGAGACCCTTAAAGAAGGTGAAAATGCATCTCCGGATAATAATTCATCCCAGGAAAGAACAAGGCTATTGAGGAACAAAAGAAAAAAGGTAGAATTTGTATCAGAGGCAGCTCCTTCTACTTCTCTCCATGATAATGGCAACTTGCCAGAAAATGGTAACACTCCAAAAACTCGAAATACGTATTTGAAATCCACTGATCCTGAAAAAAATAATCCCTCTAGAAAAGGAAAAGAGGTTAACCTTATACCTCAGACAACTTCCACTTCTCGCAGAAGAAAATGTCAGTTGTCAGAAGACAACTTAGCATCCAAAAAATTAAAATCAGGTAAGGCACGAATTTGCTTTCTGTTTCCTAAGAGTAACTAACTCAAGTATTGATATCAGAATAATGTGAACAAGCTCTGTAATTTATATTGCTCTGGGCTGCCATGCTCTAATGTAGATACAGAATAGATTCTTAATATAGCAAGAAGACTGAAGTAAAGAGTGGTTGTTACTTTATACAAGAGAATGTCTTAAGTAGGAAATAAAGAGTTTGGGGGATATGACAGTTGTATTCATTCTCTATTGGGTTATTCATATGTCCTCATGCTTTTTCATACTGCATTCTCAATCTGTAACTTGCAGTTTAGAGTAAGTAACAGCAAGTAACTTACAGGAGAATGTGATCATGACATAATGTGATAATCTCATGTTTGTAGCACCCATTGTTCATTCTTGTTTTCTCTTAAATGCCATCTAAGCTTCTCCTCTTATATCCCTGGCTTTTGAGGAACCTTTATGGCACAGGTCCCAAGTGTCTCCTGTTTTTTCTCTTTTCTGTTTTACTTTCCCCAAGCCAAGAGATTTCTTGCCGTCGATGTCTAAAATATTCTCTGAAATTTTCAGCTGGAGATGATTAACTTTAAAACTAATATGACTCAGAAATATGTTAATAGATACATGCAAATAGAGATAACGATTGACTCTTTACAAGTACATATTTAGGGATTTCCTGGCAAATTATGTTAGAAACCCTATTGTGATTTGATTGTCCCTTCTGTTTCATTTCTCTGCCTCTTTCACTTTTCTTTTGCGTGAGTCTTACCCTCCTATAATTTTTTCCTTACTTCTGGCTTAGTTTATGGACTCTTCTTTTGTGTTTCCCTTTACATTTGCTGGTTCCTGCTACATATACTTGCCAGAAGATTAATCTCTTCTGATGCTGTATGTTCTTCACTACCTGCCTGGATAGTTTCTCTTCCAGGGAGATCATCTCTTTCCCCAGGTGGTTTTAACAGTAGTTCCCATGTCTGGTGCTTATCTCTTGGAGTAGCTTCAGGTTCCTGTGCTATCTAGATTCTTGCATAAGTCTCCATTCTTTTCTTTACAATTAGAGCCTGACTTGCGAGCTCTATTTGGACCATGAAACCATATTAAATATTCATTTTCTGCAGGATTTTACGTCAGTATTGGGTATGTTTTAGTTTTACATATCAGTAAAAGGGATTTTAGCTAAAATAGTAGCTAATTGGTTTTGGTGCTCTCATTAATGTTAACCTACTTTCAGAAATAGCTGTAAGTCCTCAGGGATCCATCTTAAAGGATATTGGATGTGCAGAAATGTGGGTTTTGTAACTGGTTTGTTGAGTTCATAGATGTAATCTGTGGAATATAGTCATTAGGGACACTTCCGTTAAAAACAATGTAACTGAAAATTGAATGTTTTATAAAATGTTTGATTTATGATGCAAACTTACAGTTAATGTTTTTGTCTACAAATAGAGAATGATGAAAGTAGATCTCTACAAAAAGGAAAAAGAAACAAAACTAAAGAAGAGCTTGATGAAGGGAATAGAGCAACCCAGACTGCTGGCGGAACAGACAGGAAAACAAGATCAAGCACAAGAACAAGAAAATAGTGTTAGCAGTTGCAGAACCAGTTTTTAAATCAATTCAGTATTGAAATTGCAATTTTTTAATGTGAATTGATTTGCACTCAGATTTTAAACACAGATTTGTAAAACAATCAATGAATTTTGATATTATAGAAATATATATTTTTTTACAGATGTAGCTTAGGTATCTGTTTAAATAGATCTGCCTGTATGTATAATGCTTCATAAATAATGGGAGGCTTGTGCAAAACTGCAATCACACACACACACACAAAATCTTTCTGTAACTGTATTTATCCCTTCTTTCTGTTGATCAGTGCAGCAGTCAGGAAGTCTTACTACCTTACTACCAGTTTAACTGTAAGTTCTTTTCTGCTTAAATTTTAATGTACTTGCATCTTATTTTCATTAAAGTTCTGTAAATATTCTTTTTTAAAAAAACTATAGATTTATTAGCAGAACGATGTTGAAATTGTGATTAAAAAAAATCTTAAGTTCATTGTACTGCAAACTTACAGTTTTGGAAGTCATTAAATTTGAAAACATTTTGTTTGGGACTTGACTTCTTATTTGTGTACCTAGGAACATTTAAGAATGTATAATTACTGCTGTTCTGCAAGCGCATGTCAAAGATTAATTCTTCCAAGCCAAATGGCACAATCATGAAGGTGTACCTTAGGTCTTCTGGAATGCAGGCAGTTCTCTGGTAGACACTGCCATATTTGCAGCACTTCTATTTGTAAATAATCATTGGTACGAAATACAGGAAAAGTGAATGCCTAAAGTTCTGTTGTTGCACCTTTTCACTGAGAGTTGCAGGTGGTGTCAGAGTTCCTAGGGTGCTTTGGAGACCACTTTTCATAGCTCAGGGTCTGCGTTCTCTGGGTAGCATCGGCGTGTGTTTGTCTTTAAAGCTGGTGGCTTCTTGTACTGTATTAAATGCAGAAAGGAATAAACTTGGGTTCAGGCGTATAAATTTTGTGCAATTTAAGATCAGAGTTAAGAACCTGTGTTTCTATATAGGCTACAAAGAATTACAGGTATTTCTACGGAAGGTTAGTTGGATGCTGTGTTCCAGGATATTCTTGCCTAGCACTTCCTTTGGGGGATGATAAAGGTCCTTGCTTTGGATGCATCCTCGCTGGTGAAATCTCAGATTTTGAAGAAAGAGAAAAATAAAAGATAGCCGGATTAAGAAGCTAATTAAGGAATCTATTGGATGCTGTCCAGATATTTAGATCTCAGATGTGATACAGAATTTTTTTAAATTTACCTAACACATTTTACCTAAAAACGTGCTGTGTTCATAGCCATAGCTTTTACATGTTTGGGGCACTTCCTTTTTTCTAATGCACTTAGTTTTCTGTATTTGTGTTACAGTGTAAGATTGTGTAGACATAGCCATGTTTTCAAATTAACTCTATGACTGCAGCCGATGTGTTTACTCTACCTTGGTTGTTTGTATGCTTTCCACTAATCGGGACCAGTGGATGGTCTCTTACTGTTGAAATAGGAGCAAATCTCCAAGCCTGTTTTGTGACTAGAGTCAGCACTCGCTGAGGGATATCGCTGTAGGTGAAAAGTGTTTTCACTTCCAAGCTCAGGCAGCTTGATGCTTCTTGTCCAGATCTACTACTTCAATTGTTCCTGTGACTGTTAATGGTAGAGCTCTTCAGAGTTGCAACAATGTTTCATTTCAAAGCAGAACTTAACTGCTTTGCCTGTATGTGTATATTAAGTCCTGGCAGGCTCAGCAGCTTCTTCCTTCAGTTTCCTCTCACCCCAGGAAAGGGTGGTCTTTTCCTCTTGCTTGGTTCATGGCCCTACATCTACCTCACCGTGTAAAATGGAGACAACTCCATCTTTGAGTCTCATGCTGTACCAGCCCCTCCAAGGCTGTTTCTCACAGGTATCCCCCAGTGTTCTTGTAGAAGCCTGGAGACTGCAGTCACAAATTGATTCATGTACAGGAAACAAAACACGGTAGCTTACAGCTATAATACTTTTAATATTAAAAGTATATGCATCATTTTGTCAGAACCACATTCTTTCTAATAGAAGAGATTATCATTGTTGTCTACCAGCTGAATATTTTGGAGAAGATGACTAGATTGCAGTAGAGAGCAAAGGGAAGAATTAGTGATGCACTGTAATAAATTACAGTATATGCAGAGAAAATGAAATGCTGAACATGAGATAAATGTCTTGGAGGTTACTGTTGTGCTTATGCATGCATTGTATTAATCTGTGCCTTATCTTGCACAGGATATTTCTATTTGGAGTAACCTGTCATTTTCCTTGGCATTCCACTCCTGAAGAAATCAATTATGCATTTGTGGGATCCATCTCAAAATCTGATCCACCTGAATGAACATTGGTGCTTAGAACTCTGCATTTATATTCAACTGCTACTTAACTTGGGTGTTTACTTTTCACTGAGCCATAAGAAGTTCTTCTCAGTTACATAGTTATAGAGAACTTATCTGGCTTACTAGCCTTCATTACGAAATGTGGAATTCCACAATTCGATTTCAATTATAAAATAAAGTGGAAATATAATAATACATTGACCTCTTGTGGCATTTGAGGGAGGTGCCCCTCTGCAGCCTCTCCATTTCTTTCTTGTGCTTCTATCTAAATTTTCTCTGCTGTTCTCATGTGTAAGAGAATCAAGCACCTGTAAGTAGCTGTACCTCTGTCATCTTTGTGGTCTTTAGTATTATTCTGTAGTTACTCAAGGCAGTAAATTCTGACCCAATGATAAATCCAAGTCTTCTTAAGGCAGAGATAAGACTGATTTTCCAGAATAACAGAAAATGGTGTTGAAATCCTATTGCTTTGAGTGAAAATACTCTACTTTTCATTGCATAACGTACATCTGTGTTTCTTTATAATGGCTCACGCCAACTTCTGTAATTTAGCTAGTATTGAACAGTGGAGCATCCTCCCTACAAAGGAGAATTAAACCTTGTGCAGATATACTCCAAGGTATGCGTGTAGAGGAAGAACACTAGGGAAGTTTCTATTGCTGCAGTGAAGTAGATGCATTATTTTTCATGTCAGCCCAGCTGCCAACGTAGTAAGCCACAGCATGTTAGCAAGTGGTGATGGTGAACTAGTGCATACAGTTCTGAATATCAGAGCATGCTGGGCATTCAGCATAAAAAGCCTGCTGTGATAAATTTAGATACACTGTACCAGCTCCGGTACAATGAATTAAAGCACAGGAGAGTACTTGAGAGTACTTTGCAATTTACATGCCAGTCCTTGAACTCTTAGCTGCAAGTAGGGTATGAGAGAGCGTAATTAGCCTTTCTGTGCAGAATTGTTCATAGTGAAGGACATGTTAGCAAGACGAGCAAACCAGCTTTTTCACTTAGTAGCCTTGTAGGTTATGCAAAAAAGATGTGTATCACATAAAGTCATATACGTTAATCTGCATAAATGTTATCCTTAACTCATCACATACAGCCTACTTACAGCTTCCGGACAGTGAGGGCGGTATTCGTTTTCGCAGTGGCTGCAGAGGAAGTCCTTTAAAGAGAGTAGGAGCAGTTAGTGATTTCTGGCTTCTTTTCACAAGCTATTTCAAGACAACTGAGAGCATCCTTAATCAGACAGAGCTACTAAGAGCAAATGATCTTTTATGTGCCTGACACCATTAAGCAATGATCTAGATTACATGATCAAATCAGTTGGATTTTTTTTGTTTGTTTGTGATTTTTTGTTCGTTTTGTTTTGGGGGGAGTTAGAAAGAAAGAGGTAACCCCAGTTGTAAAATTTTGAGGTTCTATGTCAATCACAGCAAATGAATAAATAACTGCTTCTGAAGTAAGAGAAGGCCGCCTCAGCATAGCTGCACTGTGTGCCTTCTCTCGCTAGAAATTAATAATCCCTGAAGAAAAGATAATAACACTGGAAAAGATGTGTTTAAACCACGGGCTTGGGTTTGTTGGGTTCTTTTTGTGGAGGGAGGATGGAGAGTTGGGGGTTTTTTTTGTTTGAACTGTTGTGACACAGTGATTTATCTAGGGAGGCCATGATCTCTGTACTTGCCATTGTGCAAGTCACCTGAACTTGTAGCAGAAATATGTTTCAGATTTTATACATTACTGGATACTAGTATAGTATGTTAGCTGCTCTATTTTATTCTACAGTCCATTAAACGTGAATGTTTATGTTTTAGCCCTCTTCAAGGAATTTGGGTGAAATATTGGATTAACAGGTGCAATTGCTCCTTTCCTGAAAGCAACCGGAGTTCAGGGTTCTGGTGTAATGGTGGCAACTGCTTCCTCATGCAAAAGAAAATAGGAAAGTGGCATCTTATTTTGCAGTTAAGAGGCTCATATTTTTATTTATGGTAGAAAAACTTAATTGTTTTCCACTTTAGAAAGATGATCTTACAATTTTTTTATTTGGAGAAATAAGCCTGCATATAGAGATCCATCCCTGTCTTAGAAAGTAAAAACCTGAAGCTTTCCATCACAAGAGAGACTTCACAACAGTGTCAGAATATGTTCAGTGTCAACTGTGTTTTCAGCTAGGCAAGCGTTGGTACTCAAACATTCAGAGAGATGGATTAGAAATTGCTATAGTATTCTTGATTTCTCAAAACTACTGGAACTGATGTCTCCCTTCAGAGCTGAACTTGTAATCAATTTCCCATCATTGGGGTAATGGAAAGGGATATCTCAGATAATAGGAAAAAATGAGGCAATTTGGACATGGGAGCCAGCTGAGTTTCATGGTTTGTACGTGTCCGTTCAGAGGTCTCTTCTCTGTGTTTTAGCTGGAGCTCAGAGCTGAGCTGGTTCTGTGCCTTCGCTCAACTCCAATTTGCAGGCTTATATGCAGAAATTCTCTTAAAGCATTGCAGAGATGCATAGCTGACTAATTTGGCGAGGGACAACGCAGGTCTGCCATTGAGTCAGAGCTAACGAGCCCTGCTAGAATCTGAACTGCCACCGTGCCTTAGCTTTACGGCACAGTGATGTGATGTCTGAGCTTGTTCTGCCGGCAGCTACTCAGGAGTATTAGTTTTAGCTCCACTCCTTAGGACAGTAAGTGCTCTGAGATTGGAGCTGGCTCCAGGAATAGTAGAACTGCTCAGTTATCTGAGCTAAGAAGTCTTATGGGACTCCCTCGTAGAACTGATATTTTATGTGATTTCTGGTTGATTCGAATTTTATAAAAATATATTATGTTGGCAATTAAATTTCACTCAAAAAAGTTGAAACTTCAGATGTACCTCCAAAGTGCCTCTAAAGTTTTTTTGAGCAACTTCTTAGAAAGTATTGAGATACAGCTTTTCCTGAGGGGTTTGCCAAGAAAATAAGTCTTTTTTTTTCTTCTAGCTAGAACATTTTCAAATTACTCTATGTTCTATGTAATGCTTCATCATTGTTGGTAAGTTGCCAATACTTTTC